CCAGAGACTCCAGAGAACCGTCGTTTCTTGGGTATTGCTAAGGTCCACTGGCTCAAACGCCTTGCGACCCAACTGCCTACAAAGATATTGGACCTGTCATGGCCGCCGTGCCCCGCGACGTGTCAGGAAGCTTCCAAGGAGCTCCACCGTCTGCACCGCGCCCACCTCGCGCGCAAATACAGGCTCGCACTCACGCCGCAAGCTAAAAAGCAGTTCGAGCTTAAAGTACTCGCTGAGAAGATGTTCAGGGGTCAGTGTTGTTTTAAGTCTTACTCTTATATGAAGGTTGCATGGATAATATTTGGACAACACTCTTGAGATGTCTAAAATGAAAAGTACCGGATATTGAAAGATTTTGCATTGGCGCTAGTGTCGCTTTTAGTCTTTTGTCTTAATAAAATGATTGCTGCTTAACTGAGTAAAATAATGGCTCAGATTTTTAAAGTTGAGGCATCTGCAAAAAACTACCTTTTTGCCTTTTGTATTTACTACTTTTCTACGATTGTTTTGTATAATAAAATTAGTTAATTGATAACTGACCTTTAATTTTTTTCTAGGCAAGAAGAACAGCTACCAGGCCAGCATCGGCGAGCGATTCCAGGATGACCGCCTGACATCGGAACACCAGACCCTCAGGAATACCTTCATGGCATCACCTTCCTGGCCTACCGGAGAACAACTTATTGTAAGTTTTTCAATAGTAAACTAACTATTTATCTATTTTAAATTCAAAAGAAATCACACTTAGAAGTGGAACGATGCATTACTAGGGCTAGCGATCAACTTGAGCGATTTTTTTTGTAGTGGAGAAATAGGAAAGATTTGCTCTTGTTTAAACTCCAGGCACAAGAGAAGAAGATAACATATTGGCCTCTACTCAAACCGAAGGTGCCTAGTGGACCTATTGTTGTTATCAGCTAGGCTATTCTGTAAGATGTCAATTCGAACTCTCGAAGTCTCTCACCCGTCATTGGTCGAGATTCTTCTCACAAGCAATCACTTCGAGAGTTCGAATGGACATCATATAGAATAGCCTAGCAGATTACTCTTTGACTAGGTACGTTTTTTAAAATTAACTATAAGGCTACTAAAGAAGCCAAAGGCTAAAAAAAATATCACTATCACTTACCAAAACTTATATTTTCAGTACTCATGTGAGGCAGTGAAATACGACCGCCGCGGTTACAAGCCTCGTGAGCGCGCCCTGCTCGCCTCGGACAAGGCGCTCTACGTACTAGACGCGGCCGGACGCAAGACGTACAAACTCAAACATCGCCTGCCTCTAGACAAGCTACGCGTCGTCGTCACCAACGAGACTGATACGCTTGTACTCATCAAGATACCACAGGAACTTAAGAAGGATAAGGTACGAAACGACATTAACTTAAGTCGTTTTTTAACCTTTTTAAATTAATAGTTCACTCCACTAGCGGTGGAGTTCAGAATTATTGCATAAGAAAATCGCCTTATGTAACGCTATGGGTTTGAACTCTTCAGAAGGTTCTTAAGCAGGTTAAACTGCCGTTATCAATAAGTACTAAAATATGTACTTTTAGTCCAAATATTGGTAACAAAAAAAAACAGAGGTATCAATCACTACATAGTATAAAACAAAGCCGCTATCCGCCGTCTGTCTGTCCATATGTATGCTTAGATCTTTAAAACTACGCAACGGATTTTGATGCGGTTTATTTAATAGAAAGAGTGATAATCGATTATTGTATATTGTCGAATTATATATGTGTTCTTTCAAACAATTAAATTCAAAGCATGTTCTTGCACCCGCTGATTACTTTCTCTGCATCACCCAAGGGCCAGACTGGTAGAAAATGCCTGCGGCATTAAGTCCACCCATGTACTTGTTTGTGTGCATAAAGTTTTTTAAATAAATAAATTATCTAGGAGGGTTTATATGCATATTGCACCCGTGCGAAGCCGGGGCGGATCACTAGTAAAATATAAAACAAAAACAAACCAACTACAATGCAGTTATAAAAAAATATAGGTTTCAAAAAATTACTAAATCAATTTACTTACTTCATTGTCAAATTGCAGGGTGACCTGATCATCTCCGTATCGCATCTGATCGAGGCGCTGACCATCGTCACCGACTACACCAAGAAACCCGAACTTATCGAGATCGTCGACACCAGGACGTAAGTATTCACCATATTTCACACAAAGATAAAAAAATTATTATTAAAAAAACAAAATACCCGACTGCACACTAAAAAAAGAGTAAAACAAGCCCCACAATAATATTGATCAATCAAATGCTAAAAACTAATTATGTAATACCGTTTAAACAATACCTATATTAAAATACACTACAATATGTGTTCGTAATCGATAGTTAAATAAACAGAAACTTATTTTGAATACAAATTTACTGAATATAATTTATAAATGTTGATGGAAAGCATCGCAGGCGGGGACCACCTTGACCGCCACCAACGAAAATTCTGCTAAATGGTGCACAACCGAAATGACTATAAATAAGCCTCTGTTGGTCCCCGCCTGCGATGCATTCCATCAACATTTATAAATTATATTCAGTAAATTTGTATTCAAAATAAGTTTCTGTTTATTTAACTATCGATTACGAACACATATTGTAGTGTATTTTAATATAGGTATTGTTTAAACGGTATTACATAATTAGTTTTTAGCATTTGATTGATCAATATTATTGTGGGGCTTGTTTTACTCTTTTTTTAGTGTGCAGTCGGGTATTTTGTTTTTTTAATAATAATTTTTTTATTTATAACTTTTTAGCTGTTTTTATTTCGATATATACAAATAGGGATATATCGAATAAAATCGCTATTTAGAGACGACCGTCAACGACGTGTGCCCTCATGCGTGTGCCCGCAATCGGGCTGTATACTCGAGCATATCCCCCTCCGCACCGCGCCGCGCGCCGCATGCCAGGCCACGCCCTATCTTTTTGCTTGCTAACGCATGAGTTGCTTTGCGTTGACGCAGAATTAACATGTTCCCGTGGGAATTTTGAGAAAAAACGTATCCTATATTAATTACTCCCGTGATTGAAATGAATCTAATGATACCGCATACATATTTTTTTAAAGGGAAATTTAGAAAAAATATTATTATGTCTTTATCCCGTGGGACTTTTAGGATAAAATGTATCCTATGACACTCCCGTAATCAAGACAAATCTAACGATACCTCATACATCAAAATCCATCAAGCCGTTTAGGCTACAGGTGGTCACAAAGGAAAAGACATACATACATACTTACATACACTCGAAAAACATTACCCTCCTTCTTTGGCAGTCGGGTAAAAAAGCAACATAGAACCGAATTGTAACCGTATTGTTAAAAAATCACAATGGCAGAACATACTTTTTCAAACTAGGTACCTACATAATCGTCATTAACGTGAAGCCATCCACTGTAGACTATTAAGTTCAAAATAAAATTTCATATAATAAGTACATTTTTACCGAGTGTATTATTCTCTATCCCCCCCAGTATCGCGCACAACCTGGTGAATGGTAAGCAGGGCGGCACCATCGAGGTACAGAACGGTCCGCAGGCCAACATACACCGCGCCAAGAGTGGAAACCTGCTCGTTGTAAGTATAACCTTTATCATAATTTGAGTACCTATTCAAAGAACATTTTAGATAGGTATTCTTTATTAGATACTCTCTTAGAGACTGCCTCATTAGTCGAGTGGTCGCAAGTGCGACTGCAGGACAAGGGGTCTCGGGTTCGATTTCCGGGTCGGGCAAAGTATTACTAGGTTTTTAAAAAAGCTTCTTACCAGTAGCACGGAGTCTGGAAATGTGCCCGGTGTACGGCAATAGGCTCACCCCCTATTACTTGGGACTCATAACATAAATAGTGAAAAGTGGGTCTCTGCCCTTTGGGGATAAAAGGCGTGATATTATGTCTATATGTTTGTTAGATATAGGCAATTTTTGAATCTATGTGACAAAAGGATTGCTTACATGTTTTTTGTAGGCTTTATGACCTCAGTTTAATCAAAATATTTGATTACAACAAAACTATTCCTTTCAGATCGCAACTCCCTGAGCAGACCGATATTGCAAGAAACTACAACAACGACGTTACTTAGAATTACTAAAATTATTCCATTTCGTATTACATAGTATTTATTGTTAGTACCAATGTAATGTGCCTGCTCGTTGTACATAGCAAATACAAGCCCTACGTTCCTGAAATAAGTCATAAAATACCGTAAAAGTTTCTACAATTTTCATTTTTTTTTTATGAAAATCCAAGTTTTCACCATAGCAGGCGCATGTTTACATAAGTAAAACATAAAGTTAGTAACTTTGCATTGAAGTTAAGTGAACAAACATCTAGTGAACTTAAGTTTTATAAATTACGACAATTTTTATGTTTCCGTACTTATTTTTTATCCATATTTTATTTTATACCCTGTATAATTAAGTACGCATTATTGATAAATACTTAGATATTTTCCAATGTGAGCTGAACCTACTATTTTGTTAGTTATGTTGTGCTTAATTGAACAGACAAATTACAATTTTACACGTATTTTATAAATGAAATATTATGTATATGGAAGTGTTATTAATATATAACAGTTTAATGAAGTTTTTATGTATTAAATGTGATATAATGTTCATGAGATTTTCGTACAAAGTACTTAGTATTTTTTGTATGCCATACAAGTTAGGTATCGCGCGAAATGTGTCAATTATTGTTACATAAATGTATTAGAAATTATGAAATCCCGTAAAGGGTAATTTTGTAAATAAGTCTAAAATATTTCCTAGCTAAAATAAAAAGATCAATGTTTAGTCGTAATATACCAAAGGTATTTTAAATTTCCAAATTTTTGAAATGTGATTAACGCGGTTATGAAGACAAGCACTATGATTATGTAATAAAATTATAATATTGAGATAATTGACACATTTCCTTTGTTTGTAATAATGATTAAGCTGAATCAAAGGTGCCTACTATAAGGAAACAATTTGAATTAATGTTACAATGAATGTATTTATAAAATTAAGATAAATATGCTTGGCGTGGTCTGAAACACTTGGATAGAGTACGACCATTGCTGTCTATAACATAATTACGAACTTGAGGCCTATTGTACAGCATATTGATAGATTAATACATTGCAATTTGAACAGTATGATAAATTGTATGGAATTAAACGTCCTGGAATTAGTAAAGTACTTTTAATATTAAATCGCGCCTAATTGTAAACAGGAACATGAATGTGAGCAATAGACCTCAAATGGCCATATTAAGGTACACAGGCTAATAAGTGCCTTGTTTATAAGCCAGTTCCTTCAGTCATTTTTAAATAAATGTATTTTAATAAAATATGAAGACATTTTCAATCCCTAACCTCGCATCTAAAGTAAAAGATGGTGTAATTTGAAATAATATGCAATGTCATATTTCATCGTAGTATAATTATTTAAAAAAAACATTAGGTACATTTTTACAATTATTATTATCATAAAATGTGATAACAACAATCCAGAGTTACAGTGACAGACAATCGTCTGTTCCCGCCCTACTTCAGTCTTACTTTAAAACAAAACATGACGAGTCAACAGCTCTTAAAGAAACTGTTCCGAAAAATTGATTAGACACGGTTTAAATAGAGATATTTTAATTCCGTCCACACATCACATAATACCTATGCTTATCTGGACGGAGGTCCAAAAATCCAATGAGGTTACAATTTACATCATAATTTCACAAAAGCTCCAACTACTAATTACCGACATAATTACAAAGGATAAGATCGAACTATCGCACCATAAGCACACCATACAAAGTATAAAAAACGACGATTATCTCCGAAACTCCGGATTATTCACGATAGACATCGCTGTCTTACATCTATTATAATACAAGGAAACTTAGTCTTTCAGTCGGCGACTTTGCAACCGATACCTGGGTCAAGACAAGCGACAATTTACACCGCGATTATGAATATGTCGACATGTTTAACATATTTTGTACACTCATATGGGTATGTTATTTTTATGTAGTTTACTATAAACAGTAGCTAAACTGAATATAATACCGCTACATCCATTTAAGATACATCCATTTATTTTATTTATTCGGACATTCATATAAATAGCAGTAAGTTACCAGTGTAAACTTTCGCTTCCTTGACAAGAAAAACAATATCGTTTTAAAAATGCAGGGAAATATAATCTATTCTATTTACACATCAACTAATTCATGGAAGATACGTTGTTGGAAAACGCAGTATACTTTAGGACATATGCTTATTTACAAAGACATTGTTTTAAAAAAATAATGCTGCTCCTAATGATAACTTTTACATCTGATCATAATATTTGTGAACTAACAACATGATATATATTATTATATTTACTAGATGCATACAGCCCTGGCAGACGCTTGGAACTCATAAATATACATACACGCTTATATAATATAAATGCCAACTAAGTCGGGCCCGATATTATTGCTAGTTAGGACCTAATATTCGAATTAAGAGCGATATGAATACACATTGTCGAATTAAGACTAACATAATAAATACAAAGAAGCAAATAAAATATTAATCTTTTTAAAATAATTTAAGTGTTAAATACTTTAAATAAATATTTTAATAAAATTCGGTATAGCCGCTTCTTTCATAGCTCATCATGTCATTCAATTGTGATTTTGTTACATCCACCGCATTATCCATATCGCCCAAAATCATCTACATGATCGGAACCCAACAAGAACCTAACATTAAATATATAGAATTACGCGAAACAATGAAACATGAAAACAACTCAATTCCATAATATACAATCACACGACTCTCGGCTAACACTGTCTTACATTTACAGAGTCAACACAACACCAAAGTGCTATATCTTGAAGAACATAGAATGCTGAACAACTAACTCGGTGTACCACGGACTGAGCAGAGAACGCGGCTAACTAATAAGAGGACACAGATAGCGATACGCTAATCACTTTACATAGAAAGGTCCATCTCTTATTATATTGATGATACCGAAAAAACTTCACAATGACAAAAAGTATAAAAACTATGAAAAGTCCTTAGGGATTAGCTTGTCCATCAGTAGTCATAACATTGATAACATACACGAGATTAAAAGTACTTTAAATGAAGAAGACATTTAAAATCACGGACTTTTGTCCCTATATGTACAAGTACAGCTTCTATAGCCGCATCGCCGCCCTTTAATTAATTAAATATTTCATTCATATCCTAATCCTTTCCACTATCTTCCTATCTTAGATATGATGAATTTCTAGGGCATAAGTCGAAAATTCTAGGTTATTGATATAGGTATATAAATGTAGGGTATATCATTTTTAAATAAAATCAACTTTACAATATAAGAACTGAGGAATCCAGAATCGTATTGAAGCTAAAGGCTTGAAAGCCACGTTGTCCCTTCGACCCTGTATATTATACTGAATAAAAGTTATGCAATACACATTGCAATAGCAAATTCTCGTTACAAAGTTTTAGGATTGAAATATCCATAAACTGTCAGCTGTATCAAATATCTACTAAATTCAATATTCAATGAATTTTGTTATTTAAGTAGATGTTCTCCAATAATTACGCAAAATGGCAGTTACTATTGGACTTTTTCTGATTCATATAAGGCGCACATGGTCTTACATAGGGGAGGTGGGGCATATAACTTTTTCTTGCATTTTATTTTGGCAACACGAATTTGGATATGATTTGGCTGGCTACGTTTTGGCTCTAGAAGGCTCGGACAAAGGAACAAGCTGCCAACCAAACAGGATAAGGGAGAAATGTTGGCAAGAAGAATATTAAAGAGATCACTTTGTACTCTGCTTATAAAGGCACCTAGTGCGGCTTTACTGACTTGGCAGGGAACTGTGAGTTACCAGCTTCATAATCATGGAAGTAAAATAGTGTTGCCAACCGTCAAACAGTATTGCTACACTCACAAGGATTCTTAACAAAAATAAAACAAGTTATTTCGCTAAAATTGAAATAAAATTAACTGTTCTTATTTAAAATTATTCTAGTTTACATTATTTACAAACATATGCACAGGACGCCTGACATCCGTCCGAGGGTAACTAGCGCTATGCGATACTTTGGTTACTACAATATATCATACGTTTTGGTACGCGTTACATACAACGCAATAAATTAAATTGCTACACAGGGTTCCGCACCTTTACAAACGTTGCGTAATTCAATTTTGATAAGATTCACTTTATTAAGAACATAGTAATTTAAGTATATTCAGTTACCTCTCTGATATACCACATTAGGTCAGATTGGTTGTTAAATTTTGCACTGAATATTCGTAAATTGTGCAAGAAGCATAGCATAGTGCTAAAGTTTCTTGAAGAACACAGCCTTCACCTTACGAGCTAATCGTACATGAGATTGAAGCTAAACATTAGACTAGGCACATTACCACACTCGCACGGAACCCACACATCGTCACGACACTCCACAGGCAACAAGTTAAACTAGATCACATAGTCAATTGGTCTAATATAAGCACCGTTTCTTTCTTTTACGAAAGTATCTTTTACAATGTAGTCTGTACTATTTCACTTGTCCCACAGCCTCCTGCGCGGGCTCGGTGGGCTTGAAACCACTTTCAGATTTGTAAGGCTCACTTTTGTAGTCTTGGTTGTCATTTTTGGGTTGTTCGTCGCCGTAACCGCAGGGCTTCTTGCCCTGCGTGTGGTCCTGCTCACGCTGTTGTCGCCGGCGCTGCTTGGACCACAGCTCGTGGCAGTCCTGCCAAGTAGGAAGCTCGGGCGCGGGCATCCTGGAAAGTGATTGACTCAATTAATTCTATATCTAGTCAAGTGCTTACAATTACGCAAAGCATGAACAGGTCGAATTATCTGGCAGACTTGTGAATGCTGTAGTAGATAACAATCCATTCATGGGAGGAAACCTTTACTCGATATTCCCTCAAGAGAGAGTACACACACAATAAGAGACAATTCACAGTTTGGCATTCATTATTTCAGAGCCCACTGCCATGTAAGCAACTGTTTCTGGTACACATTGGCCATGACATGGTCCTGATATAATATAGCTGGATGAGACACGTCTATTTCCACATGATTACACTCATTCACTCCACATAAGGATCTAAGTATTCATTGCCACAGTCAGAAACAGATCGCAAATAAAAAAAATAAACCTGAACAATATACATATAATCAATACTCACGAGGTTTGATAATCCCAATTGGTATAACTATAGGGATAAGTTAGCATATTAGGTCTTTAACCCTAACACAATTCAACCTATTTACCAGGCACTACTAGGCTTGTGCGAAGGAACTATTAGGCCAAACTTACTGCGCTATTTGCGCAATACTGAGTCTTACTTCGCGCATGGGATTGCGCAAACAGAAATTCCTTTGCGCAAACCTTTACTTAATTCTATAATCAATCACTCATGATATCTCAGTGTCATACATCATCCCATGTTATTAGAAAAGCCATGCATTCGACTTTGCTCAAGCAGTTCATAGTCGTTCATCATCAATAAAATACAGATTGCTGTAATAATGTTTGCGCGAACTTTTTGCGAGTACAATGCGAATATATGGGTGATGATGATAGGATCTGAAGTCGCGGTCAGTCCCCGCCATGATACAAAATATACAATGTCACATATACAGATGATTGGATGACAAATGATGAAAGCTTAAAACTAACACATAAAAATGGGATGCATAAATATTAATAAAACAGAGTATAAGATTAACATAACTTGGCTTATTGTGTAATCGTTCACAACAGATGTGGTATTCGACGACAGCCCCTTCAATACTTTCATACTTGCCAGTAAAGAGTTCATTCATATTGTGTCAATGCAATACTTATAAGATAGAATTTGAAATTCAACTTAAATAAGCTATCACAATATAATAATATTGTTAGTCCGTAGGGTTTCTACATATTCGTAGTAGCGTAGCAGGAATCGAACCCACGTCATATGTAGCATATGAACACACATCGTCGTTGCCACTTTAAGACCCCTATGTATAAAATTATATTTTATGAAAAAATTACTTAGAGACTAAACGCATTTTCAGCCCTTTAATTATCTAAGGCATCGCGTATGACACAAAAGCCCCTTACGCACTAGCGGTGTACCATCTAGACGGTTCGTATCGATAGACGCGGTTGCATATTAAACTGTCAAACACCAAGCGCAAGTGACCGCAACCTATTGTTCTATAATTGTGTCTACAAAACCGGTACTCGACGAGTTAAATAGGAAAAGCGGTTAACAGCAGGGAGCGGTGAGTCGAGCGGTTGACCGCAGGGAAGCAGCTAGTCGCGCCAGTGCGCTTAGAACTCGTATGTACCCACATTGATGATTTTGAAATTGGTAAACAAATAAGTAACAAATTGCTATACACGAGAGTTTCTGCAAACTGCAGAATGTAAAAAAAAACAAATAAATGGTTTATTCGAAAGATAAACGAGGTCTTAAAGTCGCAACGTCCATATGCTATCTTGTACTTGGCAACTAGGCTCTATCGGCCTAAGATCATCAGTAACGGTATCGTTAGTGATCATCGCGCCTACGGTGCCAAGCCAAACAAACAAAGTCAAACAACTCACTGCTCTGGCACCACATTCTTCAACCAGGGGCTTTTCAGAGCATCCTCGGCGGTGATCCTCCGCTCGGGGTCCAGCTCCAGCATGCGGTCGAGCAGCGTGAGCGCGTGCGGCGGCATGAAGGCGAAGTGTTCCCGCACGCAGCGCTTGTGGAACTTCTTCGGGCGCAGCGCGTGCCACAGCGGCAGCCGCACCACGCCCGGCCACACGCCCGGCACCGGCGTGCCGCACACGCGCGAGATCATCTCCAGCTGCATCATCTCCATGTTGGCCTGCGCGCGATACATTTTCTCTTTATTTTCTACAGTGTAAAACCTAACATTTTTTGCCCGCTTGACATCGCCACATCATTACGATTCACTGCGTATGCGATAAAACTTTACAGCCAAAACGACAAAAGGTAGTAGAAATATCTACTTCCTTACCTAAATTATTCAATAAAAAAATAAAATAACATCTTACTCATTCTCTGAAGCAAATAACTACAACGAAAACAATAATTAACACAACACAATAAATAACATCATATTTACCTGGAATAGTGGGTGTTTGAGGAATAGTTCCCCGAGTATGCACCCCATGGACCAAACATCGACGGCCGGTCCATACCTCTCCTCCCCCAGCAGTAGCTCGGGCGGTCTGTACCAGAGAGTGATCACCTTGTTTGTGTACGGACGCGCTCGATCCTCCGCGGACCATAACCGTGCCAGACCGAAGTCGCCTAGTTTCACCTCGCCCCTGGTACAAAAAGTCACTTAATTACACAACTCACACTTCCAAACCGCCAAATAGTAAAATAGCCACCAATAAAACAATAAGAACCCTGTAAAAAGTTGAAGTTGTTGCTCCATCAGCAAAGTTAATCATTACTTTTGATTTGCTTGAGTACAGAAAACAGGATAATTTTATAAATTTGTATTAACATGATAATGAGATTCATAAAGACAGCTATGTAAAGCACAACTTAGAAAAGAAGAACAGTTAAAATAAATACAAACTCACTTATTATTCATCAGTATATTACTGCATTTGATGTCCCGATGCAGGAAGTTCTTTCTATGGCAGTAAGCCAGCCCGTCCAGTAGCTGGCGCATTATAGACGCATTGTGAGACTCCGTGAAGTCCACCATCTTGGATTCCAATAGACCCATCAAGTCATGGTCCATGTACTCGAATACTAAGTAGAAGGAGCCTTTGTCCTATAATAGGAATAGGTTAAAATTGAATAAAATGTTATTTTAGTAGAAGGTCACAATAATTGTATTTAAAAACAACTAGTTTTGCGCATTCACCCGCGTGAAAAAGGTATTTTGACAAAATATTAATAGAGAAGTGGGGATTGTGGAACTACTTCATAGAAGACATTTAAGGTTGTTAGGTAGTCATTACTAACCTTCCTGAAATCCATAGCATCCTGTTTATCAGTGACAATTTCCCGAAGGTTGACGATATTCTTATGATTAAGCTGGCGCAATATTTTGATCTCCCGCACAGCTGTGATGGGGAATCCTTCTTTTTCGTTCTCCAGCCGCACTTTCTTGAGCGCGACCAGTTGGCCTGTGTTCTTATCTCGTGCTTTATACACTTGCCCGTACGTACCTTCGCCGATTTGGGTGATAACCTGAAGCATATTAAATGTTGCGCTTTTATTTCACTTTAACATATAAAAAAGAAAATGACCGAAATAACTTTGTGTTGTATGTATAATGTCCACCGAGAGGGTGAACAGATGACCTAATGTTGTCGCATTTAACCAGCGTAGTCTCTGGAAGTCATTGGGGCAGGCCTATGTTCAGCAGTTGACGTCTTGTAGCTGATATACTAACAATGATGGTATGACAAAAAAGTACTTTGATAGAAAGTTATATTTACCTGGAAGCCATCGACGCACTTCTCGCCCCAGTCCTTGGCGTGGTGCGTGGGTGTCGCCACAGGTACCACCTTGGACCCGCGACGTTTAAGGATACGCGGCCTCTTTAACTTCGAACCAGACTGTGAAATTCAATTACAATATTTTATTGATGAATATTTTGTAGCAAAACCGAGTTTTTGGTGTTTCTTCTCAGAGTTCTCATTTACAGGAAAATGAATACGTAACGCCGATTATAAGCCACTTACATTTTCAAGTTTATTTTTTATCAAAACATTGCCCCACACTGGGATTTTTTCCTGTGTCATGGGTGCGTTTACACACATACAAGTTCATATACACACACCCAGACCTAGAAACAACAATTTGTGGATTACAAAGTGTTGTTCCGTGCGGGAATCGAACTCGCGACACTTTTCACGGCAGCTGGTTGTCCAGCCACTGCACCAACCGTGCAGTCAAATTAATCTTATCCAACAGTGGTATGGTATAAATGGTCACTTACATTATCCCTAGCATGTTTCCTGTTACTAAAGACATGTGAGTACTGGTCGCGGCGCGATGCAGGCGGCGGAGTGCCTCCGTCCAGTTCGTCGCCTGATAACTCCTCCGAGCCAGGGATCACTGTAATGCCCGTAGTTTTAATGTATAACGTTAGTATTTTTGTCCAATTTGTTAGTCACACAAACATTCATTGATGAACCACTTATCTGCCGGCGGCGGCATATGTATGAGACACAATAGAAAACACATTATGTCTCGCGTCTATCTACGTTATCATGGGTTAGAAAAGCGTTAGACAAAAGTGTATAATATTTATTTGACTAATCTTTATCTAATAGGATTGTATGAATGATATAATTATGTTACCAATCAAATTGGTAACATTGCGTTAGTATTAGAATAAGAAAGGTGTATTAGTATTTGTTAGTTTTCCCTACAAAGTTAGGCAATGCAAGCATAAACTTCAAACCTTTTGCAATAGGTCCAATATTCCAAGGTTACCAATTTAAAGGAACAAGCAGTAAAATGAAGCATAAAAATCTACGTCCAGATCACACTGTAGTAAAAAATAGCAATGAGTACACAAAAACAAGTATCAGATACTCACCAGGTGGCATTGGTAGGTTCATGATGCCAGTTCGCTTCGGTTTTTCTGGTTTCTTGACGGGAGATGGAGACGGTGTACTTAGAGGACTCTCGTTTACTAGCGTCTTCAGATCCTCCACCTGGAAGTCATAACATTATGATAAAATAATATGAAAAATCCAATCAAAATAATGTTTATACTTCAGGTATATACTGAGTAGGTATTTCAGAACCAAAATGTCTGTACACTGATGACCAATACATTGCAAGGATATGAAGAGTCTTGGATTGATAGAATTAATAAATAAAAGCTTGCAATAACATTATTTCGGAATTCTGCTGCGATTTCCAAGCAGCTAGCCAAACATGGGCATATTATGGCAAGTCTCCTATCTTCAAAAGAGGAGTTAGAATGTACCTGTGTATTAGGCGGCATGGGCAGCTTAGTGAGACTCTTGGGTTTGTGTGTAGCGGGCTGGGAGTTCTGGTAGTACGCCGCGTCTACTACACTGCCGCGGGGCAACGGGGGCTGCGGGGGCACTGACGGCGGCGATACTGCAGGACTCTTCGATTTCTGTGGCTGCAGAAACAAAGGAGTAATTAACATTCCTCAGCAGTAGAATTCTAACAATGCTGACCCGAGACTTGTAGAGTTCGTGCGACTTTTTCTAGTATTGCATCAGATGATTCGTTTGTTCGTTTGCCATCCTATACCATAAAAAAGCAGAAAATTGTGAAAATTGTGAAAAAGTATGAATGAACAATTACAAACCTCGCTAGATGGAGGTTCAGCAGGCGGCGGTGGTGGTGGAGGTGGTGGTTGCGCGTCTCCATTAGCAGCAACGTGGGGCGCCGGCAATGGTTCCTGGCGACCAAACGACGCGAACTCCGGCGGCGGGTTTAGCGGGGCTGTGACCGGTGCTGGCGGGGCTGACGGGGCTGACGGGGTTGGCGGGACTGGCGGGGCTGCCGGCGCCGGGACCGGTGGGGCTTCCGCAGCGGCCGGGGCTGCTGGCGGGGGATTAGAGGCACTCTCGTCCGCGCCCGGCATCGGTATGTCCACCACATCACCGCCCTCACGTGTCGCTTCACCATTCTCTTTATTAGATTGCTGGAAAAATTCAATTCAAATTAGACAACTTATTGATATAAATTAAATGATAGTTGGTGTATGACCAGTGTAGTCTTATATTTAGTTCACCTCCTAATTCTTTTTTTTTTTTTTTAAACGTTGCCCCACACTCAATTCACTCACTTATCACTCCTTTGCACTCAATATATCTGGCGAAAAGTGAGTTATTTACTTAAAATATGTAGGAAAATAAACGTAGTGTTTAGCCAACCTGTGTGGAACTGTCACAAGTATTGCTGGAGAGTTCATCAATGGTGAGTATCTCAGGGTTGTTGATCGAAGTAGTATTCGACAATGCGCCCTGGGACTCTTCTTCCTTCTGGTTTAATATCTCCTGCAGCTTCTGTAAAGGAAAGGAGTATTAACATCAATATCTATACTATTCACAAATACTATGTACTTTGTGAAATTACTACTGGATTTTTATGCATGTATATGAATCTACGCTTATACCGGTACCTGATACCTGACCTGATAAAATATAAAACGTAACTCTGACAAAAATCGCAAAGGCCGCTTATCTGCATCATGTTTAATAATTATTTCGCTGTTGCTCTACACTTTTATTAGTAAACTAGTTCTTTGGTTCACACCTTTGTTCTTAAGGACAAACTTTCTTATTTGCGTTAGTCTTAAGGATATCCCTCAAGACTAACGCAAGTAAGTAACTTTAAACAAGATCAAAATAAAAGATATCTTCAAATTTTTTCATCGGCATTCGTAAAGTGTCCAAAAGTTATTTACGATTTCTTAACGAAACCTTTTAGACAAACGAGACACATTTAGCGTGTTTACGAGCTTTAAGTGGCACTAAAATATTTTTATTCATAACTTTACCCGCGGCTTGGCCCGCGTGGTCAATATTGGTTGAGTAGATAATGTATACAAAATTAACAAATATTATAACAATCCAAAGGAAAAATATCAAGTTCTAATTCCACTAAAAGAAGTATTTTTCCTGAATAATTTGATATGGATTTCCTCATAGTAACGCCTGATTCTATTTGTATGATTGTGAATTAGGTTGTAGACATTTTAACCTACAATTAAACTATTATTGAGTAGATTCTCTTACCTTAGCTCTCTTGTGCTTGTCCTTGACTAGTTCAGCAAACAGACTGGTATCACTGATCTTCTCCTTGAAGTCTATCTTCCGCTGGAGCATCGTCGGGGGACTGGGCGACTCATGCTTGATCCTGTATATAACAATATGTCGTTAATATTTTGTAAAATGTAGATTCTGACAACATATTAATATAAAAGTACGCAACCATGCACTAACATTTTCTCCCTTATTGTGAGTGCGTTTACAAACATACAATCTGCATGCAATTCATATACTAATAGAATAACATCAAGCGTTTTATATCTGGCGGTGCACATTTTCACTCAAAGAACTGTATTAAATAAGACCCTTAATATAGGGTCTATATCCATTCTCTAGTCACACTTCCAGTCACCATACTGATGATTTTTCGAAAATCCCAACAATAGTAGGTTGTTTGACCCAAGCAATCGAACCGTCAGTAGTCCAGCACTCGAGGACGTAGTAGCACGAAATTAGACTTTAGTGTATGTACAAATAGGATAAATTTTATATTACTATATACTACTTATTCACAGTCCATTTTCACAGTCTCTGGATAGTGGTTATGTACCAAATATCTGCCAATTTTTACCAGTTACTCAACCATGATAACATTTCATAAGAATATATGAGAGCCAACTGACCCTTAACAAATAAAGTTGATTGTTATCTTATAAATTGTATGAATAACAGTGTGATTACCATATTACTTCCTGAACCGCTGCCTTAGTAGTAGCAGTAGCGGTAGTGGTAGTACGGCTGATTGAAATGAGAAACAATCATTTATTGATTTCAATTCTCAAATGAGAACAGAATAAAATCAAATAAAATCTTACAGAGGTTTCACCTTTGTTGAGTAAAAATGTAAAATAATTACATTTCATATAGAAATCAGATTGGTTTAATAATAATAATGCGATAATTTTCTATTTGTATCAATCTCAGTAATAGCTCAACCTATTTTTAACCGATTTCCCAAAGAGGCTCTTTATTCAACCGGCACTCGACTCAGTCAGCGCATCTTTTTTTCACAAATCAGTTTTGACTGCCAATTCGATGGTTTATTTAATAACACTGAATTTCAAACGAACTGAGTAACAAAAAATATAATTGTGTGTAATGAATGAATATGACAGTATTTACCGATGATGATGATGATGTTGTCCATGTCTGATTGAAATAGGAAATATTTTATTTAATATTTTCTACCAAACAACCAATAACTAACATTTTGACAAACTATTCGATTTGTGACGCTATAGATAATGCAGTAAGATAGTAAATTGGATGTGATGATGTGAAAAGGGATCAATAGCCAGGTACTTTAGAAGATGTGAAGTGGAGTTGGAGGAAGTGCAAAAGACTGTAAAAATGAAAATTTCCTACTTGAAAAACTTTACTACACTGCCCCAGAAGAGCCCAAGACAATACTTAGCATTTCTACTATGCTTACGTTATTAACCTTGAGGCACAAATCGAATGTGCTCTAAATATCCTTGCGTTCCATCATCCCTATTCGTTCTCGAAATGAATGGGCCACACATTTTCCCCAAACACTACACTACAGAGGCACTACATACTACGATCCCTTACAAAATGATTCGTCTTATACCACATTCATACCTCCAAACAAACAGATACGACGATAACTCCGCAAAACCCTACATGTTATAATAAAAAAGCCAACATCTCCTACGATCGTTACATCTTCCTCTATCTAATTCCTTTATTTCTCATCATTTCATTCATTCACCACTCATCAACAGCCTATAAATGCCCACTGTTGAGCAAAGCAAGTATTACATGGGACTCATAACATAAATAGTGAAAAGTGGGTGTTACATTGTACAGTGGCATAATGTACCTCTGCCTACCCCTTGGGAGATAAAAGGTGTGATGTTATGTTATGTGTTGAGCAAAGCATACTCTCACACAGAGTTTTGAGCATTAAGCACTAATCACCATGCTTGCTCAATGCTCAGGTTAGCGATTTCAAACTTATGATCAAAAATTATAAGCCCAGGTTTCCTAACGATGCTTTCCTTCATCATTTGTCGGTGGTGTTTAATCTTAGAAAGTACACATATGTTACAGTATCTTTCATCACATACACGCATCTAGTCATACTAGCACGATTATTTCTCAACTAAATCCTTTAGTCCAGCGACTAAAACCCCATATACAAAAATATGTTAGACAAACAAACATACCTGTGTCGGTCCCTGGGCGATGGCTCCCTATGTTTGGCGCGGTGACGCGGCGGAGACTGCGTGGAGCCACGCCGTCTGCTGCGCGACCTAGTCCGGCGGCGCTTTAGCGAGCTTCGGCTATGTGACCTGTGATATGTGATGTGTGTATAGATGGAGTTGTTTATAACAAGTGTAATGATAGATTGTCACGCCAGCAGAGGGAAAAAAGATTTTAAGATGAGTTTTTGTTTTCAACACTCATTGTATTGACTTGACAAGGTTTATAATGCAAAAAATTAAGTTTTCGTTCAGTCACATTTTAAGATTTTTAAGTAAACTATGTAGTTACTGCCTCTATAAAACTATAGACCTATATAATCTCATATACGTAGTTGAGCAATAAAGGAATATTTTATTAATATTGTCAATGTAAATATACAACTGCAAGTCTTCAATCAAAATCTAACGGAGTTTACTATCGCCAGCATAAAATATATTTATAATAACTATCGTGAGCCATATTAAAATACCTAAAAATTGCGGGTTACTCACGTGAATATACTTAGAAAAGCTCTACTAGTTTTGAGACGAGCTTACTGACTATAGGCACGCCGTTCAGGAGGAAGAGCCCCTCCAGGGTTCGAAACTAGTAGAGCTTTTCTCAGTATTTTCACGTGTTTTTAGTTAATAAAATATTTTGTCTATCTATTACCTGCATGATGCTGGTTGGTAGAGTTAAATACACACACAACAGAACAGAACAGAACAGTAGGATGCAATATAACTGTGGTTCCGGCGGCTCTAGCAGAATGTTAGTATCTGCTTCCCAAATAAAAAAAGCATACCAGAAGAGACAATGGGCAACAGAATCAAGACTTTAGCCCCAAATCTATTAAATGGATCAAAATATAAGTCAAATAACACAACTTTGTCAAGTTACCCGTTATAAACATGGAATCACACCGATTAAGCTCCGATGAGTAAGGTAGAAATGCATATATTGTAAAATGGGCTCATGTTATGAGCTTTAAGACATAAGAGATCGAAATCATTGCCTTATTGAAGGTTGCTTACTGCTGATTAGCTTTGCTTACCATCAGGTGATCCGTTTACTTGTTTGCAGAACAATCCCACAAAAAGTCAAATTATAAACATGACAAAAATAACACAAATCTTACCGATGCGAAGTTTTGAAGTCCCTATCACGGTGCCGGTCTCTGGATCGTGTCCTCCTCCGATGGTGAGGACTGCGACGCCGGTGGGAGCGACGCGGACTGTACTCCCGGGGACGTGGCACTACCTCGTGGACTGGAGAGTCTGTGGAAGAATTCAGAGTGTTATGGTCGAATTTAGGATTCGGTTTCGTAAGCTATGAAGCATTTAATTATGTTTATTTTTACTAGAATGGGTTTTCTTTTGTAAAATACCTATTAATTCATTACAAAATATTTTAACCGACTTCAAGAAAAGAAGGAGTTTGTCCTGTACATTTGTGCGCGATTATCTCGCGATAGGCTAAACCGATTTTGATGCAGTTTTTATAAAAGTGTTTGTTAAACTTAGGAGAAGCTTATAGTGTATTAATTAACCGACAAATTAAAAAAAGAGGGGTTGAAGTCGGTTTTTAAACGATTGATAGAATAATGATTACTATACTATTCTGGCCCCTCTGTCTCTTATAATTGGCCCCCAATAATAGTTGTTGACTTTATTTATGAAATATAACCACATCACACCTTCAATCCCAGGAAGGATTTGGAAGAAGTGCCCATTAAGACATAAGATTGCACCGGTTATGTCTGTCTATTGGGTAAAGTTCATACTCTGGTAATAATTATCGACAATCGAAATTAACAATACCTAATGCTTTGCCAGAATCGGGAATAAAACCTGAAACCCCGTCATATACTATTCACAACTAACAAGTTATGGGTGAAGGGAAAAAAATTATTAATATGTTAACAATCAATTGTGTTCAAGGTCTTAAAGGATGACATGTTTTGACCTCTCACCTATCAAGTAGGGCATCGCAGTTGATAATGTCAATCATAGAAACAATTATTCATTACTACGACTATCTATGATTGTCGTAAAGAAAAATAATATCAAATACTTAGTTATTTCTAATATGAAATTCGAACCAAAGCTATTCCCAAAACCAAAATAAACCATCGTAGACCGCGTCATCGCGTCAACACTAGGCGAGATAGAGATCAAACGTCGGCCCAAAAAAATACATGAAAATGGGCCCCATCTAGCTATAAAGTTTAATGAGTATGGACATATAATAATATGAGATAAGACTTGCTAAATATAATTGTGATGACATAAACATAAATTACATAACATAATTAAATCTTGTATTACCCAAAAGATTAGGCAGAGGTGGACATATGAAATGTAACACAGACTTTTCACCCGTTATGATATGAGCCCCATGTAATAGTGTGAGCCAGTGAGCCTATTGCCACATACATAAAAAATAATCCCAAAACAATGGTAATGATATTTACGATGTAAACAATAAATTATTCCACTTTAATTTAAATGCGAAAAAGAAAATTGCGGGAAGGCAATTAGAACTACGCAATAAAAAGCTGCTTAGACATATGCATACCTTTACACATCAATGAGATTATATTTCATTCTCAAATACAGAAAATAACATTTTCGAACAGTCTCAATGAAACGATGCTTTGCCGTAAGGCATTAAAGGCAGATGTTATAAGATAATAAGTGTCATTCAGAAGTCAGAAGGCTTTCAGGTACTGTGGTAATTCCATACACCATTTACTTCAAATATAATAATATTTTCAGAACACGAAATATACGCATATGTCTAAAACCAGAAATAAAAAATGCAAATGAAACATAAAACAATACCTACAATGCGTATTACCTGACACCATGATAGGTGATTGCAAGCGATGTTGTTCGTGCCAGTAGTCTCGTCTGCCGCGGTCATATTCCTCTGTGTCCGAATCTATGGTCACCGTCTCGTGGTACGGAGGAACTAACGGCGTGTGAGGCGTCGTGGATTTCTGTCTCCTTCTGTAGACATACATCGAATTGAAATAAATATAAATCAAAGATTATAATTATTATCTAAATAAATCTAATTTGACAACATCAACATGCTGGACTAGAAATAGAAAGAAGATAAGTGTCAATATCTTTGCTGAGTGAGCGGGAGGTTGAAATGCTTAGATAGTAAATAGCTGAAAGGATAACAATAGATCGATCAAATTCAGTCGTCTCTACTTTTATAACTTATTCTCACTTTCACAACAATCGCAGTTGGACCATAAGCAGAAACCACTTATATTTCCAGTAGCTGACAATAATGAGAAGCCTACGTGGCTATCTTTGTCAAGGTGGGGGCAAAACTGGGCTGATGCTGATGATGGGGACTTGGATAGTAAGACATAAATATAAAGATTACTGACAATCCTAATTTAAGCCTAAATCTAGCCTTTGATTTGCAGATAACTAGCTAACTAGCGACATTAGCTAAAGAAACACAGGTTTAAACTATTCAAACTACGTCTACTGCAAAGACTAACAATTGTAAAATCAATTTGCAAATGACCAAATAGGTACATTGTTAAAACTATCGATAAGTACAAGTTTACGATATCAATATGGAGGTCAATAACTTAGGATTTTACTGTAGTGCGTTGGAACTGTTACTTAGGGGAGTAGGCAGAGCCTGGAAGACATACAGGTCGCGACTTTAATAGTGCAGTTGGAGGTAATACACAATATAAATTTTAGGGCATTTGTGCTGAGACGTAATCCATCTCTTTTATGGACAATTGCCACACGAGACTTGTTGGAAAGTGAATTAAGGAAATTCTACGTAACCCAATGCGACATTTGGTGTAAATCAAACACAAAATAATGAATTTTCGATCTTTACAAGGATAATATCTGGAATATTCTAATGTATTCATTATATACTGAAACCTCAGCTGCTTGAATATGTGTCGCATACGAACGCCAGTGAAAGGCATCTCAAACGTCTCGTAAAATATTCCTTATGCTAATTAATTACATGCGCCTATAAGCGTTACTATGGCGTCTATAACCCACTAAGTATTCATTTAGGAGGGAGATTTATGGTACAGCTATGTGCAAACCATCTGTTTGGTCGTAAGTATGATAAAAAACACTTTAAAATATTAGTATTAAGATCTAAATAGAATTCTAAATCGTTTGGTTAAAATGCAATTTCCTTTTGCTCGCGACTGTACTCTGTACAGAATGTATCGAAGATTCTCTTTCAATAGTTCCGACTTTAATACAAGACAATAAAGTTGCAAATTAAATAAATAAAGACAGTTTAGAGAAAGTTGACCTGGTGACTTCTGTGTACAGTATCTCATGCGTTTGACGCTAGGCTACTAAGAACAACTAAATACCTAAGTAGTAAATAGGAAATAAGAAAAATAAATCTATACAAAAAAAAACACAATTAATTCATGATAGAAAGATGGAAATCTATTTGTTAAACAATGAAGGCACTATTACACTAACTGAAAACTAATTTAAGCGAAACAATTACCTAATAAACATTCCTTAATTAAGTTGTAACATTTATTTGATAGCGCTCTCTGAAACTACTATTAAGATGTCAAAGATATAATGATCATCTCCAGTCACGCTATGATATAATTAAGAAAAGAGTATGAATCCGCGTTTAGAAACCCTTTAAATAACGCAAGTGGAATTTTTGACTGTTTGTTTGTTTGCAAGGTTTACTTATTAGGGAGTAACATGGAATACTTTTAATCCCGCTAATCCTAAATGATCAAGTCTACTCGAAAGGAATCGAAGTTCCACGGAACCACATTGGAAAATAAACACAATGTATTTTATAAAAAGTCTGAAAAGTTTTATTGCGAAATAATAAATGCATAATAGATTACGAAACTGAATTAAAATGTCATAATTTTTTGATCATATTTAATTATCTACCATGTGGAAAACAAACGTGCTAGCAATTTACAAGTTCATTATAACCCACTTCTCACAGTTGATAGTGAGAACGTGCGGAAAAAGAAAAACAACTTATAAATACAAGGTACCTATAAGTACTTTATTTAATGCAAAAACTACATGGCTGTATGCAAAACGGCTTGACCTTGAATAAAAAGTATTAAAGTTTAGGAATAAAGAAGTTATTACTTCAAAACTATTGGCTGTACCACAGATTAAATAAAGCGTGGACCATAAATCAACAAAGCTGAAATGTTTCCGGAATACTTCGTCCTTTTTAAAATCACTTGAATTGAGCGCCGATATTGCATAGTAATTAAAAACTATAATAACACCACAAAATATGAGTTTTTTTACACAATTAACGGACCAATTATTGTATTTATTTATTTATTGAAAACGTGACACGAATGAATTAACGCGAAATATCGTAATGTTTTCAAACAAGCCAGTGCACCGTGATAAGATAAACGTTTAAGTATTGCGATTCGTTTTAATTAATTGCAGATTATTCAGTTCCTCGTGAAACAAAAACGATTTTAACAGACTGCATAAGTTACCGACCGTCATAAAAATACATATTTATTAAGAAAGTTGCACTAATCACTAAGCTAGCTATAGTAGGTACCTGTACTTACTTTGTATCGCGTTTTTTATTGCTTGAAGAAACTGGCAGAGGTGCCCAAGTGCACATATCAACGGCACCACCAACATTTCGGCTGCGTATCAAAGGACAATGCTATTGTCATAAACCGCGTCAATTCTATACTGTACTATAACTAAGAATCTATCTAATAACTACTAACATATAGATAGACAAATCACAGTCAACAACTTTCAAATAATAGCACATGCGCGTCTTGTCTACGCGTAGAAAACAAACTTATCGATATTAGGTTTTTTATTTTCGGATCGTAATAAAATTAATGTGCTTAAATTAAAATACAGCGTGTGTAACGAATGGTGATTATTTTGGTTGATTAGAGCAGTACTTTAGAACGTTCATGCAATAAATTCTAAGATTTGGGGCCGACTATTTTTCTTTTACAAGCACATTTAATATGAAAGATACGTCAAATTATCCGCCGCTAGTTATTTAGCTACCATAATACAGTAGATATTATTATCTAAATATATTCGTCACAATAATGGTCAAGTCTCAAGTCGTTCGAGTCTCAATAACCCATATCCGGGCGTTGATTCATAGGGACTTACACAACACGATAAGAAATTGATAAGCACAATTAACTTTCCCACAGATGAAGAAATATAAATAAATGCTATTTTAAACTAGTTATAAGACTTCTAAAGCGCTTACAAGCATGAAGACGATCAAGTTCTTTGTAACAATATGCACAAAAGCATAAAAAATGACGCAACAAAGAGAAGCTCAACCCAAGGCTACGAAAAACCTACATCTAGTATAAGTTTGTTTTTCAAAATTAACTGTGGACTAAAGAAACAAGGCATTTAGTTTTGTTCTTATGGGTCATGCAATAAGCAAGGCGGCCACGCCTAGGTACTTCTACAGAAACTATGTCTATCTTAAAACTTTTTCGCATGTTGTGAAATGGCGTTTAGAAAAAATTAAATTAAATCTTATGACAAATAAACATAAAAAAAATTAAGATATTCTGATGAGGATAAGAGATTATAAAGTTGTTCTAATCGGGACATTCCATTCAGTTCATTGCTTATTTTTTTTAAAGCGTAAATATTTCATTATCTACCTATTTCACACACTTTATCTACAACACAATTAGTTCATGCTCATTAAAAAGTCACTCACAAATCACAATTACTCTGTATAGAGTAGGTTGCTATGTGATGGACCGGCATCCAGGAGGGGCTGGAAACCATAGTAACCATCCATCCATTATCAGTACAATAATAAGCACATGACAAAAGTAATACATTAACAACAGATGTAATAAGACAGACTAGACCGAACAGACTAATGGAATGTTGTCATATCTAGACCTCATCACATTAGTGATAAAAGAAATGGCTGACAGTAAATATCAGACATATATAAAAATGGAGATGGAGAAATAAGCACAATAAAAATTGAGATGGTCACCTATGAACTTATGGTCCTCAAAGGTCATTATTTAATAGCATTTAGATTAAGATTCGCGTTATTCGCCTACCAACTCATAAAATACCACTCTATTCATTACCTTCTCTGTGGTTACATAATAAAGAAAAGTACATGGGGCTAATGGGCTGTGACCACAAATTAACAGGTTTAATGGTAATAACTAATTAGCTTCAGTGAAACAGTTACAGTAGCCATGTGGTATTCCAATCTCAATTGTCTACTAGGCTACTGGGACCGTTTCATGATACTACTAATTTAATGAAAAGAAAAACTCACCTGAGAGGTGGTGATCTGTCTCTATGAGGCGAGTAAGGCATGGGGTTGTGATGTAATGATTGCTCCCTCGCGAAGGGACGATGTCGCGGAGACTCGTGCCGCATCAGCGGCGTCATCGACGGGGACACAGGAGAACATGATCCCCCATTCCTCAATGGAGAAGATGCCTTCTCCCATTCACTCACAGGCACCTGCTGGTATCTTTGTGGCGTGACTGCTCTCATAGGAGGTTCCTCAGGAATAATATCATCTGGAGATACACTCTCTAAACTTGCTGATCTAGACCTATTCTTTGATTTCTTCTTCTTCTTTTTCTTATCCTTTTTCCGCTTGTCTTTTTTCTTCTTAAAACTACCATGGTCAGCAAAGTCTGGTTCACGTTCATCATACTCTGAGCGTCTCTTCCTAGGCACAGATGCATCCCGTAGAACATATTCTTCAGCAGCTCGACGACTTGTTGTTGTCACTGATATTGTCTTGTTATCTACAAATGTACGGATGGAATGGGACTTCCTCGTTCTATCAAGGTCATCAGCGATATGCCTGCTGATTGAGCTTGTTTCACTGTCTATCTCGCCAGCCTCAGGAGCTGATAATGCCTCTGAGCTAACATCAGAATATTCCACAAGCGGTTTATGAGAATTGACTGTAGCATAAGATGGATCATGCGAACTACCTGAGTGTGACTTGTGCTTTTTATGAGCCCGCTTCTTATGCTTGTCCTTATGGTGTTTGCTATGCCTCTTATCGTAGCCTCGCTCCATGGTCGACTGGGGCGGCGCCCCCGCCCTGTGTCGACACTTCACATCACTTCAACTAAAACATAATAAAAAACATATTAATGATAGGAATTATGTATGGCTGCACTAGGTACATAAAAGCATAAATAAAATTGATAAGCAATAAGCTGTACAAAGTTCATCTCAAAACAAATATAAAAGAACAAAATAAATAGAAAGATTAGTATGAATGGTTAGTACATACCTACGAAACTTCACAAAAGTTGATGTAAATAAAAGTATATATGGTTGCTGATTGTCAAGCAGTATTAAATTATTATGGCTGACTGTACCCGCAAAAATAAGCACGTAGACAAAAATTAGGTACATCTAAATAAATTCAGAATTTCGTAAATTAAAACAAATACCACTTTATTGGCTACACAACAACTGATTACTGAGGAAATTAATTAAAATATAATAAATTCTAAAAATAACACAGTCGTAAGCACTCGCGGTTTCTAATAATTCCAAAAAAATTATAAACAAATCACTGCACTGCACAAGCACATGCACATTAATGAAAAATAAAAGGACTTACCTGAGTAATAAACGGACGTGCGTCCGTCACACGCACTATAAATATTTTTGCAATTTAGTACGAATTGTGTAAGCTAAGGTATTAGTTTCTGATCTTTATTTCAAAAGGCTTTCTGCCTGTAATATATAGTAATCTTAGTTCTTTACTCTTTATATAATCTTATTTCGCTAATCATTATTATGAAGAGCGCATAATTCATGTAATTACATCGGATTTATATTAGGACCAAGAACGTCGATTTTAGTCAGCCATTTGCTTTTTTCATTCATTTTCTTTCATCATCGTTTAGTGCTGTGCTCATCTATTCAGCGTGGTTATGTTGGTACTGGTGAACTCTCGATTCTAAATCGTTACTCGAATGTAAATCTAATTTTAAAAATGATTCAAAATTTTTTTATATCATAAAATAATAATTATATATTTTCAAAATAATAAGCACGAAAAAATTCACAGAAAACAGTCTTAATTTTTCGATTCTTGAAACAGCAGGGAAATGTAGATTTGAATCTACAACAATCTTGGATTCTTGGATATAAACTACTAATCAAAATTGTTGTTTTTTGAACTGATATTTTTATGTACGAGAGCTAATGATTAAACTTTATTAAAATAAAATTATTTGTTGTAGTACCAAATACTTTATTCGTAAAAAATCCTTTCAAATTTACAATATTAAAAAAAATACCATGACATTTTGTTTTTATAATAACAGTCGTGAAACAGAGAGTGATATTATTTTGCAGATATGGTACTGAATACAGATTGGTTTTTAAGACAGACAGTTATTGTAATCAGCCGTAATTATTTTTACTAATCGATTAAGTCGTAACCAATTTCTTTTAAATGTCATGTATACAACCCTACAAAGCTTTTGGTTGGGTTGGCGGAAAGTTTGAAATACGTAGTAGTTTACGATCGTTTTACGCATTAACTAGTTATGAACAGCATTTATATGGTTTAAAATTATTATAATTTTATGTTTGTGTTATAGATTACATTTTACTTATTTAGGCTCCAATATTTGCGTTTTAAAGTCAAATTTTACTTTTCCTTTTAGCTCATGTGCATCCGCCGGAAAAAGGATTTTCCTTTACTCGCAATACTTATTTTTTCTTCGAAATATAAAATCTTTATCTAAGCAAATACAGCGACCAAAATACATATCTTTGAATACATAATGTTTATGGGTATTTTATCTTAAATTTTGCACATTTTAAAATATAAATCAATCTGCACAAAAGCATGTCTAATGGAAATCATCATTCTGCGTGTAATCGAATTGTATCCAATTTACTTACCATTCAAAAAAAATATTTTACAGATGGTAGAAAGCATTTTAGTCCTAAAATAATTAGTACATGTTTTATTGTTCTGAGTGAATGATTAGTAAAGAAGATTAATTTTTGTTAAGTTCGCTTATTTCAATTTATCTATAACGTGTCATTAATAATAACTACGTGAAATAATAAACATTCGTTTTTTGTCACTAAAAAGTGATTTTAGATTACTGGATTATGGCAACTCCGAACAATTCGCGTGCGATTTGCGTCCTATCGCTGTAGCATTTATTTTGCTGATAATTTTATGGAATACAAAAGTAATTTTAAGCAGGAATTAAATTTACTTCTAATATGATGTGCAGTGACTCGTTAAGATAGCAAACAGTGTACTGTTGTCACGGAATCAGTCAAAATGACCCCTGAGTTCACGGCTGCTATTGCTAGTACATTGTGATATTACCCAATATGGGAAAGAAATTACAAATAATTTAGCAATTAGACGTGTTTATATAATTTATTTAGTTAAAGTACAACGCTGGTGAACCGTTGACTGTTTGTTGTAGATCAGTTTAATGAATTATGGTTACAAATGGTCATTTTAAAGTCATTGAACCTATGCGCGGCGTGGTGACACTGTGCAGTGACTTGTGAATCGGAAATATGTAAATAAACATGAACGATATAAGCTTGAAAATAGTGGAATCTCCGAAGAGCCACGGTGGTGTTGATGTGTCTCCGACAGGGGATACAAGTGCTGAGAATGAGGTTGATCCGTTGGCAATAGACGAAGGTGAACTCGAGAGAGTCAAGGAGCCGGTATCGCAGGAAGCGGTGCTCGAGAAAGTTGACGAGGAAAAGGCGGGAAACTGTGATGATAATGCCAAAGAAGAAAATATAAGTGAGAGCCAGACTGGAAGTAGTGATAGTATTGTAAATGCCCAGCCTGAGAAACCTGAGAATGCTAATGGTAACTGTAGTAAATTTTTCCTATACTTAACTATTCCTTCCTATTTATAAGTGATGAACTCTAAATTGATCATAAAAAAATAAAAATAGTTTATCATCATAGCAACAAAATGACATACTGTCAAAGTATTTGAAGAATGTAATAGATTGCATGTTCTGTTACATGATATGTAGTAATTTGATGCATCTTTGTTATTTCACTTTTTGTCATCAATTTCTACTGTGTTATTGGACTATACTACACTAAATTGTTAAACATAAGACTAGAATAGAAAGGGGTGCAAATTTAATTCTATTATCATATTTTTATTTTACTACACACACAAAACCCATGATAACTCAGTCTCCCATCCATAATTATTTAAAAATATTTATAGTTACTTAAATTAAATTATATCTAATAGATTTGACTCATAATAAACTTATAATAACAATACAGCTGCTAGTGAATATATCAACCTTTTCAAGACCTGTGTCTTGAAAAGGTTGATATATTCTACTGAGAGATGTCTCTCAGTATCTACTGAGAGATGTCTCTCAGTAGATACCTATTTCAGATAAAACTACTTATATCTGAAATAAATTCCTATTTCAGATATAAGTAGTGATCTCACTACTTATATCTGAAATAGGAATTTATTTTTAACTTACTTTTCATATAAGTATGCTAGTTCAATAATCCAAGACAAATATTAATAGAAAACTGTCAGCTTTAACATTAAAAAATAGAGTATATTTATAAAATAATAAATAATTGAATAAAAGAATTGTTTATCTTTTTTAAACTATCAAACACCAAGCGGTCACCAGTGACCGCAACCTATTGTTCTATAATTGTGTCTATAATGACGGTACTCGACGAGTTATTTACTTCAAAAAGAAGTAACAGTAGTCCAATGTTTACATTATTATACAATTATAGTAAATCATAAATACTAATATTGTTTAGCAACTTACTTTAACCCGTTGAAATCCATCCCCTAAATTTGGTCATACAAAAGTAGTCTCTAAACATTACAAATAAGGTCTATAATGTAATGTAATATTAGTGGAAAGCGGTCACCGGTGACCGCTTGGTGATTTATGGGTTAAAATAATCAAGGATAAATTTAGGATGAGTATGATTCGGTATATTTTATATACTATAGTGTCCCGCCTGTGGTGGTAGGTTTCAGTAAAAACCTGTGTTTCAGGCCGTTATTAAAGTTATACTTGAAATTTGTGGGTATCTAATTATTACACATTTGATATCTATCTTGTTTCAATGAGTTTTAATATTGACTGATATGTAACTGACATAATTATGTGAAATCTTACCAGTGAAATGTTTTGCCCCCAATTCTCATTAAGTTAAAAATAAAAAATATTTTTATTGACAAAAAGCTTCACATTACATATTTATATGGCTCTGGACCCCACACTAGGATTCCCTGTGTCGTGAGTCCCAGTCTCTTTCAGTCAGCAAAACATTATAATACAAATGAGAGACAAAATAAAAAGAGAATTAAAAAAAAAAGTTATACATCTTCCATATTATATCTTATTGTTTTTAAATAAACAAAGCAACTTTTAATAATATATAACATATTGTATAACTATAGTTTTGGTAGATGCAAGTACATATCTTTTCTTTTTGCATATATTTAACAAGTAGTTTGTATGTTTTTACATATAAATCCATTGTATCAAAACTTTAATATTATTCTACTAGTGTTATTTCAAATATTGAATAAATGTGAGCTAACATTGATTGTATATTGTATATAAGTATTTTGGTACCTATATTTTATTTAAGTTTTTGTTCACTGACCACTGTTAGCGTCGTCACCTACAACTATACTATTTTGTATAGAAAATACCTGAAATTGAACTGACATTGTGAAACAGGTCCCTAACATTTATACTTGCAGATAAATTTAGGTTTTTGTATTGAGTGACAGTAATGTAGAATGTAATGAATTAGATTCAATGGTGACTTATATTAACTCGTCGAGTACCGGTTTTGTAGACACAATTATAGAACAATAGGTTGCGGTCACCGGTGACCGCTTGGTGTTTGACAGTTTAAAATTGTTTTAACATTGCCTCAAACTAAAAAATTTAAAGAAAAAACCATCTCTATATTTTTTTCAAATTCCTTCTTATCTTTCAGAGAATTTGAAGCAAGAGAGGAGTAGTAGTAGCCCCCCTGTGCTTGCAAAGACTCCGACTCCTGATCCGCCTAAACCACAGAATGAACCAGCTCCCACCATTGAACCAATTCCAAGTACCAGTAAGGCTCCAGATGTAATTGAGAAACCGGTTGCTTTAGACAAAGCGGTTGTAGAACCAGTGGTCCCAGTAAAAGAACCTGTTTCTGAGAAAGAGGAGCTTATGGTGGTTGAGGAACCAAAGAAATTGGAACCAGAGGTTGATGCGGAGATGACTGAAGTGGTTACAGTTGAAGAGAAGACAGAACAAAAAGTGGAGAAATCTAAACCAAAGTCGGTGAATGGGGATGTTGTAGCTAAGGTAAGAGATAATCAGATAACCAGTATTTAACATAACGTCTCGCCTTTTTGTCTCCGAAGGGGTAGGCAGAGGTGTACATTACGGCAATTAATGCCACTGTACAATGTGACACCCATTTTTCACTATTTATGTTATGAGTCCCATGTAATAGGGGGTGAGCCTGTTGCCATATACCGGGTGCATTCCAGACTCCATGCTACTACTGAGAATTTTTTAAAACTCAGTAATACTTTGCCTGACTCGGGAATCGAACCCGATCGAACGAAAGGGTTCGTTCCAGTCGAGTTCCAGTCGCACTTGCGACCACTCGGCCAACGAGGCAGTCAGTCAGTATTACTTCTATCAAGAAATTAAACTGTCAAACACCAAGCAGTCACCAGTGACCATATGGGTTCCCATACATAATTATGAGGATGCAGTACTGGCAAAAGAGCATATTAATTAATTGTGAATTTAAATTTGAATTTGAAATAAAAATTTCTAGTTGATGATGTTAATAGAAAATATAGTGACTATATGTATATTATATGAACTCACTACCATGCATGAGTACTCACTATGTTATGGCTAATTCAATATAAACTTTATGTTACATAATAATATTAGTAAACATTGGACTCCATTATAGTAGCTGACTGCAATGGACGACTATGCTAGGTTGATTTGCAATTTAGTAACCAAATAATAGGACTTGTGACATAGTAACTTTAGCTAGAATATCGAAATAGATCTTTCCTCCTTAGTAAATATGGTTCAAAACATACGTACTATGTGCAACTATGAACCACGAAATATCTAGTCGATAGTTTCAGTTATAAGTTTAAAAAAAATAAACTTCTAAACTCAGTATTTGACTCTGGTTGGTTTCTGCATAAAAACTTGTTGCACAACGACCTTCCGTGACTCTTGATCTCTGCCAAGGTCATGTTACCCAAGCTGCTGACAAATTGTTCAATATGGCGATATTGTAAATTGTAAACTATGCCAGCTCTGTACAATAATATTATTATTTCAGTTAATTTTATACAAGTATTCTCTGCGTGCGGTTTCGCTCGCGTAGTATTTAAGATTCTATCCAGCAAGTCCCGATTCTGCTAGAATGTCAGAATAAAAAGAGTCTTTATTAAAGGTAAAATGTTTTTTCAAATCGGTCCACTACTTTCGGTAGGATTCCATGCTTAAAAATAATTATTGATAATTAATTAATCATTACAATTTTTGTAATTCGAAAAGAAAGGTTTTATTAGAACGATCTGTAAGAAAATTATATCTCAAGGAACTGACTAAATAAATGTTTTTTATTTTTATTTTTGTTAATGTTGTAAAGAATCATATATACTTTTTTCAGGACAAAACTCTTATTATAGTCCTTACGAAATTAAATATTATTTGCTCGTTTACAAATATCCAACATTACTACATCTTATGAGACTGAACACAAAAATAAACAAGTAACAATAAGCAAGGAAGTCCTGCATAAAAGGTTCCCAAGCCTATTAATGCTCTTGCATCTGGCGCGCACGGTACATGATACAGCGATACACATACATAAACTCATGCCTTAGTCTCATAGGAGTGTCGCGGAGAACCTAACGGGTAACCGGGGCTCCGGCTCAACGTGCAGGAGAAGGAACGGGGTGGTTTTTAGTCAGTAAGAGTCTGACACTCCCTCCCGCCTCACCCAGGCGGGAGCAGTCATTCGATGATTATACCCACTTAAAAAAAAATGGCCCATAGAAGTAGATGGAGAAACCATCCTTATATACTTTAGCTTCCATCACATTGCAACGATCGTCTGTCTACTTATTTATTTTAGTAGCTCAAAATTGTATGGTCATGAGTCGAAATGAACAGGGTCAAGTGAGGTCAGGAATTAAGGCCACCGCATCTTACCATGTCTACAGTCTACGAAATAGATATCTAGAATTATTGATATGGGTATTGGATCCTTATTTCATTTCGTATGTAATAAGTTTGATGATTGAGAAGGTGAAAGAGTGGTTGCAAAATTTATTTTTAATATTTAACCCCTGGAACTTGGAACGTAGGTATATACTCGAGACACAATGTGTTTTCTATTGTGTCTCACATGTCGACAGATAAGAGGTTAATGGGATGGCGTTTGGCTTCGTTATTAATATTGAAAGTAAAGTGCAACTGTGTAAATAATGTAAAGTTTTTTGCCTACAGTTCAAGGTCTAGACCTAACATGTAGACCATCGCAATGTGCACATTTCATTTACTTGCCAATTTCAAAATGTTTAAGAAAATCACCTTCGAAGATAATGTCTCCAACTATGCAAGATAAACTGATGGTATAATTAACTAATGTATTGCTTTTTTTATAGGAGGACCAAGGTACAAAGAGACGGCCAAGCGAAGACGTGGACACGGAATCACCTCTGAAGAAGCTGTGTCAAGAGGTAGAGAAGACGTTTCCCCAACACGACACGATGATCAACGACTACATACAGAGAGCCACGAAGAACAACGTAGACGAACTACAGAGGCATACAGAACAGTTGCTATCCGAGATACAAACGCTCAGAGAACTTGCGCAGAAAAAGGAACACGAGTGGAACAACATTCTTCATCTCAAAAAAGTCAAAGAAGAAATCCTACTCCGACTCCTAAGGCGAAAACAGGTTTTAAATTACGAAAAATCTCAAGAAGTTAACGGCGGTGATAGGGATCGGGATCCATTCGAATATCTTAATAATCAAGCAAAGAATTTAGCTATAGATAAAAGTGATGAGATTTCTGGGTTGTCGCTGAAGCAGCCGGGGACGTCCATGGCTCCGATGTTGCCGACCCCTATCATGGCGAGCACTTCCCACTTCAATCCCATGGCGGGGTTACCGCCGCCTTACGACAAGGCGCACATGTCTATGCCGAAACCAGTATTCCCTCAACAGATGATGATGCCCGGTCACATAACTGGGTTCCCAAGAGACATGAATGGTCAGTTACCTGCTAGTTTTGGCCTTCCTATGGGTCGGCAAGGGCCTACAAAAGACGTTAAATCCATTATAGCAGACTATAGGCAAAGGAATCCAGAAGTTACACCAAGAAGAGGTCGGAGGATGAAGTCTATATTAAATCCTAATATGATGAATGCTCCTAGACCGATAGCGCCGAAAGTAGATAATTTGAACAACTTGAACAATATCAATATGCTGTTCAACAATCTGGACATGGTAAGTCTTTCATTATATCATAATTTACTTAATGAAGTCTAGTTGCTCACATTATCCCAATTTCGTTAAACAACATTTTTTGTGTAATTTCTAATGAAACCTAGCCATAGTGCATTATATTTAAATAACTACAATTTATAGTTATTTTAGCCTCATCTATCAAAGTAAGGAAATGAGTCATTTTGAAACTATAATAGAATAAGCTTATCAGTAACTATAACTATGTCGATATCCGTAGGAGAATTTTATTTTATGTACCAATATTTTAAACAAGTAAAATTGGTCTCTAGTCTAATTGGAAAGGTCAAAAATTACACTTTTCGGTTGTTACAAGTCCCATGTTACATTGTAATGAGCATCCTAGCTATCATTATAATACAACACGGTAGTTGACAAAATTCAATACTTTTATCGAAATGTCAGAAACGACACTGTTCTACGAATTTTGTACGAAATACCATCTTATAACGTCATCATATTTTCTCGTCAAATAGCACACTTAAATCTAAAAAAAAAAATGTCGCGGAGAACCTAACGAGTTACCGGGGCTCCGCCTCGACGTGCAGGAGAAGGAACGGGGTGGTTTTTAGTCAGTAAGAGTCTGACACTCCCTCCCGCCTCACCTAGGCGGGAGCAGACATTCGATGATTTTCCACCGTTAAAAAACAAGGCGGGAGCAGACATTCAATGATTTTCTCCCATTAAAAAAATATCTAAAATTTAAAAAAATATATGTATATTTAAAAAAGGCAAATCAATGAATGAAAGTGTAACTATTTTTCAATATTAAATTGGACTGAAAAATCAAAATAATTTATTTTTTACCCAGGAAACTACCAATTCGAGATTATGTACTGCAAATTTTAATAAAAATCGAATAACACTTTTTCCAACCCGGGGAATCACAACCTTTTGCACTTACGTCCACTTTACCATCGCAATCAAAATCGACTCTAAAAATATAATTGAATAAGAGTAACCCAGTTGTACCATACGAACATAGATCGTTAGAACTAACTGTCGAGTCAATAATCTAATTTGTAATTGTTCCTTGACCCCAATAGTCAATGACTCTCTGTATGTCTGTATAGACCAGTACTGTCATATATATTACTCTATACCTCGGTAGGGTTGATAACGTATCTTCGCGTTCGTTTTAGGGTGGGTAGAATAGTTAGATAATACACAATTAGTTTACTAATAAAGTACTAAGTAGGTCGTATAAAAATGTGAGTGACTTTTAACCTACTGTTGGTCTTCGAGACTATGAAATTCAGTCGTTGTTATATCTAGTTAAAGGTTAACTGATTCAGAAATTGAACTGGAGGTCTTTGCTTAGCAGTTCCATTTGTAATGCATTCAGTCAACAAAACTCAATTAAACGAACAAATAAAGAATACTGCCTCATTGGCCGAGTGGTCGCAAGTGTGACTGCCGGGCAAGGGGTCTCGGCTTCAATTCCCGGGTCGGGCAAAGTATTTATGGGTTTTTCAAAAAATTCACAGTAGTAGCACGGAGTCTGGAATTGTGGCCGGTATATGGCAATAAGCTCACCCCCTATTACATGGGACTCGTAACATAAATAGTGAAAAGTGGGTGTTACATTATACAGTGGCATAATGTACACCTCTGCCTACCCCTTCGGGGATAAAACGCGTGATTTTATGTGTAAAGAATACGTAACTATAAATAACACATTTACTAAAAAATAAAAACCCAGTATCTAGACTTTACCCAACACGGGAATCGAAGCCGAGACCCCTTGTCCGGCAGTCGCACTTGCGACTACTCGGCCAATAGCTACGATTAACAAGTCTAACCTTATCCAACTTTAACAAAACTTGTCACTACAACTTACAAGTTCAATTACTTTTCTTCTAGAAAGACTTTAGGTTATCTACTAACCTTTGCACAACGCTGTTAGGTGACTGACAGACACCTTGACCCAAAATATTACCTAGGATTCTAATGACCTTCGATCTACCGGTCTTTAGCTATTAAAATAGTTATTAGATATATTTTATTATTTTAATGTATTATGGTTTAGTGATACGTATTGGTGTCTGGCAAGAGTTCGGATTTGGGTTCGAATCGTTACTTGATGTTGTCTTTATGTAATTGTTATTACTACTGGGATGTTGGTCGAGTGGATATATTATGTCTCGGGTTCGAATCTTGGGTTGGGCTTAGTGTAGTAGCCTTTATAACGTCTATCCATCGATTATTTTACCATCCTCTTCGTTTCAATCCACTCATATTTCAATTTAGCAGCATCGTTCATACTAAGTTGAATAATAAGTAAAAAACCGTCAAAGAATTTCTTTATTTTATATTATTCAAGTGCCACAGCCTTGAGAATTTAATTAATTAACACTATTGACCCGCTACCGAGCTATTGTTCTCAATGTGACCCGCCTCTAAACGAATACGACTTTTTTAAGATGCTTACTCAGTTGAATGACTAAAAATAAATATCGTTTTTAGTCTTTTCAGTATGTTTGGTTACGAAAATTTTCAATATCCACTAAGAGCGATCCGGGAGTCGAATCTATTACTCGTTTCCCAGCTGCCACACTGTGACTACATGACATTTTTCATCAACATATGTATAGTTCCATCCAAAACGTTTACCCTGCTCTAACTAATGAAAACTAAATTACTTTTTCAGAACCAAAAAGCCATGCTAGAACGTCTACAACAGTTCCAAGCTAGTAGCCTACCAAACGGGCTCTCGTTCAAAGACGTGCTCGTCCAGTTCGCCAATATGCAGCAGGCCAGTGCAGGCCTCATCCCCAACCGACCACCGGAGACCATCACCACTAGGCCTGAACACCATATAAGGCCCGAGGGAAGAAGGAGACAGGAGAGAACTCACGAAGATGTTCACGTATCTGTCAAGCAACAAGAGAGACTCGCCTCTCCGAGCCCCAGGCTGCCCCCACCCCCACCATATCCCGAAATTTCCCTACTACCCGTCACCACCAGCCAGGCTGAAACAACACAACAAAACTCCCTACTCCACGGCATCCTCACGAAGGTAACTACAACTATTCAACCACCACTTTATGGCTTGTAGAAATACTCATATCCCAGCTTCCATTAATATTATATTTTTTTGTATATGGCAATAATGCTTGCAAACTAGCTTGAAATGAGTGTTGCCAACCTTCCAGCAGTCGTCTCCTGCGTCTCACAGTTACTCCCCGACGTTGGCTAAACTGCTCATGTCGCCGGAACGGATACAGAGTGCGCCAACGTTACCAAGTTTCGGTCAGGCCAAGGTACCACTAATGTACGAAATTATAACAATTGGTGTGCTGATTGGCCTTGATCATTCAAAATTCAAAATTTAGTTTTAAGTTATGTTATGGCTTTAAAAAGTTGGAGCTCTTGTGATTAGGGTTTCGACACGTTGGGTTTACCCCTAGACCAGCCTCGACCCCGCATAGTTGATTGGAACCTTTAGCGAATCTTTTGGTCGTTGATGTATGAATGACCATGTGCCCTATGCACGGCCTCAACATCCAAAATGTGTCAAAACCTTAAGAACTTATACTTAATCTATTAAGGGCAACTTTAAACTATACACAGAGGTCAACATGAATCATTGTTATATTCATTTTATGCAAACAAAGGAAATTGCACTTAATACGTTACGAAATAAAGCTTCAACTTTTTAATATACAGATTATTTGATTTGATTTTTGAGAGACTGGCAATGCTCATTGAATAATGCCACCTCATGATCATAAATCACAATATCTAAAGAACATTAATGAGCAACAAGTATTTATTGAAAATCCTAATATATCCTGTAGGCAAATATATTTTGGACCCGTATTTATGGTTTTTGAAAGTGATCATGTATATTTCATATCAGAAATATTTATAGTATTTATCTACATAATATATTGATTTTATTATACATTTTTAAAAGAAAAATTGGCGTCTTTGAGACAAGTAATAGATGAAAATTTTATTATGTTCCTAAAATAATTGCACATAAGGTTGTATGTTGACTGGTTCTCATTGATAAAATTCTTTCATTCAACTAAAATAGTGCGTAGTCTCATAAGTCGGGTAGCGACGGTTTAATTGGCTAACAGAACTGCTTGCACCTGGCACTCATGAGCAACTACAAAAATATGATAGAATTGAGTTATGAAGAATATATCATTCCTAGCGGGGACAGGAGCGTTATAGTTAGAGAGATGACGACTAAAATTTTTGTCTCGTAGCAATACGGCCAAAACCGCCTCAAATCGATAGATACGATTATCCTGAACTCGACTATACCAATATCAGACATTTTCCGCGTAGCGTTTGATCTGACCACAAAAACACCAGACAAAAAAAATGTCTCATAGCAATACGTCTGAAAACCTTTTTTATTAGTAAATTTTGGTTATTTGTTGCGAACAAAACAATTTTCAGACGGAAATATGAACGCATTGAATATTGAGACCGTTTTGAAAATGTTAACAAATTTTACCGATCGGTATCATGGCAATATGTCTGAAAATTGTTGGACATGATAAAATAAGTTGTCCACATGTGCAAAAAATGTATATCAGACAAAATAAGTGTAGCACCCTCTCTATCAGACAACTTTTCGATACGCAGATATTTTTGACACAGCAGAAATGGCCTCCCACGCAGTTGCTACACTTTCGACCGTTACTACACACCTAGTCGGGTTCAGAATCATACAATCTAACGATTTTATAGGGTTTTTGCCGTATTGCTATGAGAGATGGTTTTGGTCGTCATCTCTCGTACTATTAAATCCGAATTATGAGACACAATAGAAAATACATTGTCTCATACTGCGCTGTAGCAAACCATGGGTTAATCGGAATCTGATCATGATAGTGTCAACCCTTGTCTATTGGCATAAGGGTGCAAAATATTAGTTTAGGTGTTAAATCCACAGTAAAAAGCTATAATTAGTTTCTAGGACTACTATTTGAGCCAACTGAAATTACAAACCTATCGATAATGAAACAGAAATTGAACAAATTGGAAAAAATATACATATCTTATTTATAAGTACATATAACTATTATAATACTAGTTATAAATCAAATTATCTATTCTATGTGCTTATAACATTGTCATTTAACAATATGGCTGACCTGTGTGTTGGGTTGTGTTGTAGAACTGTGGAGAGATCACGATAACTCCGGTGCAGCCCGCTCCGACGGCTGAACCGCAGCCTGAGAAGCCAGAGGAAGTCGTCCAGCTCGTAAGTAGAGACTTGATGTATACTTAGTAATATTTAAGGCTTTCAGTAGCACAGAATACAAGCAATTGATTATTAAAAATAGTGCTTAACTTGTTTATCCACTGTTACGTAAAACCCACAGCATTTGTTCATGCAAAAGAAGCCTCTAAACAACTAAAATAAGGTCTATAATGGCTCTTCATTCGGCAGTCATCATCACAAACAAAGCTATTTTCACGCTACATCATGAAGTTTTGATGGAAATTAGAATGGATTTAATAATAAATAAGTATTGAGATGATACCCACCATTTATGGACGAACACCTACCTTGGCTAGAGGCACCTCCCATTTCCAACACAGAAATGCTAAAACATAGGGTTGTCAACGGTTGGAGAATCTGCTGGTTTAATAAAAATATTTCTCTCATTTCCAGGACGATGAAGAAAGCCCGGCGTCAGAAGGCGAGGCATCGGGCTCTCCATCCGGTTCGGGTTCAGGACGCCTTGTAATAGACGAGGGCGGTGGCGAAGCCCCGACCGAGAGTGCGGCAGACCAAGCGGACACGAACGAAGACACACCCCTGTGTCAGGGCTGTCGACGGAGAGACGCGCAATTTGTTTGTGCTGGCTGTGCTAACCAGTGGTACTGTAGTAGGGATTGCCAGGTGAGATCAGATGAAGTTATATTTATTAAATTTGTTTTTATAATAACTATCGTGAGACATAAAAAATAACTGAAAATCGCGGGTTGCTCGCGTGAATATACTGAGAAAAGTAGGCTGGCACCAGTAGGCTGCGTGATATCGCCGCGACCGCGCACGCTGCTCACGAGGAAGAGCCCCTCTGTGGCTCGAAACTAGTGGAGCTTTTCTCAATATATTCACGTGAGTAATCCGCGATTTTTTGTTAATTTATTACGTTCGTTTATATTTAAGTTCTGTATTTGGTTATAGTCGTTACTGACGCCTAAAGCACATAATGGTTCTTGAATTCTTGACATACATAACATCACGCCTTTTATCCCCGAAAGGGTAGGCAGAGGTGCATTACGGCACTTAATGCCACTGTAATGTAACACCCACTTTTCACTATTTATGTTATGAGTCCCATGTAATAGGGGGTGAGCCTATTACCATATACCGGGCACAGTTCCAGACTCCGTGCTACCACTGAGAAAAACCCAGTATCTAATACTTTGCCAGACCCGGGAATCAAACCCGAGACCCCTTGTCCGGCAGTCGCACTTGCGACCACTCGGCCAATGAGGCAGTTGAATTCTTGATAAAGTAATAAAAGTCATTATTCTTCAAGAGTAATATCATTTCCCAGTGGCGACATCTGACAATAGCAAAAACTTCGTTTAACATATAACTAATTTCTTCCGTCCACAGGTCGCAGCATGGGACGAGCACTCAGACATGTGCTCCGGATAGCCGCCTAAAGTATGACGGAAGCCGCGTTAGTAAGTATATTGTAGTTGTATACAGAGTGACAGTCTACGCACCGAGTATATACATATATACATGATACATGTATTGTACAGTAACGGCGCTTGCGAGTCTCAAATTTAAATAGACATTTGCCTTAATTCGAATAGTGCATATATTATGTGAATCTCTATTTATCGTGTGGAGATATGGTTCTGGTGCGATCATGTCCTTCTAATATTCTTTGAAGTAAAGGTTTTGTTCCAAAATGTTGTTATTGAAAATTAATCGCTGCATACACGTTATTAGAAACATATTTCTTTATTGGAAGATAAAAAAGTTAAAAATAAGATATTATTTTGACGTTACTTTGTTACATTTGTAGAAGTGACGTCACTAGAGTTTTGAAATCAATGTTTATAAAGGGATACTTTAATCTTGAAACAACCTACCAAATGATTTTTTTACACAAACATACTTTGCACTTGATTATATATGGATGAGGAATCGGTCGCACCAAAACCGTAGAAAGTTCCCTAAAATTATATTAAGTTCGATGCTCACGTCTTGATAGGACGGTAAAGCATCGCATGTAAAAATATACAATCCTTTATTCACTTAATATTGTAATGCAGTTGTTGAGTAATGGTTTATTACGAAGCGAAATAGCGACAATTTTGTCTCAGCGAAGGCAAAAATTCTTTCGATTTTCAACCTTATGTCGTCATAGTAATGTCATTATCATTCTCAAGCCTCCTTTGGAGCAAGCATTATTGATTTCGATTATTATTATTCATAAAGTATTGTGTTATACAATTCCCAAGAATTTGGTAAAAGAAATATAGTCGTCTGTGAAACAAAGGTGGCACCAAGATACCATTGAACAACATAATGGTCCTATCTTTTATACCATGTGTCAAGGCAACGGTGAAGAGTTTAGGTGCAATGGTATCTTCCTATTCTACTTTTATTGCTGAAATTAATAACTGGTCTTAACCTTAAGCACTAGCTGTCAACCGCGCGGCTAGTCGCTCCCTGCGGTTGACCGCTTTTCCAATTTAATATGCGTCTGTTGATACGAACCGCCTAGGGGGTCAACCGCTAGTGCATAAGAGGCTTTAGTCTCTGGATCAATATTTGTTTTAGACAGAAATTGTCAAAAATCGACCTTATTCCACGGATTTTGGTTTGAAATCAGTTTTTAATTTAATTTCAGCCGTAAGTGATAGTCAGATTAGTGATCGTGCACTGTGACCTGCATCGTAGCCACATTTCACTACATAGTATAAAACAAAGTCGCTATCCGCCGTCTGTCCCTTTGTATGCTTAGATCTTTAAAACTACGTAACAGATTTTGATGCGGTTTTTTTTAATAGATAAAGTGGTTCTTAAGAAAGGTTTTAATAGATAAAGTGAGGAAGGTTTATATGTATAATACATGCATATTGCATTTGCGAAGCCGGGGCGGGTCGCTAGTTATAAATAAAACATTACTCAACAATATCGTTTCCTAAAAATATTCCTAGTAGAAAACCCGTATTAGCTGTGTCATAAGCCTAAATATTTGTTTGATACACGTAGTTATAGTATTAGATTTACATATTTATAATTTCAATCACTAGAAATTATTATTCCTATTTTTTTGGGAGTACTAAATGGCTTCGGTAGGAAATGTACACACAAATTTAACAGTTGTGACGTCATCTGACAGGCCGCCATGTTGAATTCAATGTTACCAATTTATAAAATTAGTGTTTTATTTAAATTAGTAATATTTGGCGAAGTGCTGTATGATTTTCTTTTTTTTTTATTAAGGCGGCTATTGTCAAATGAGGTTTTAATATTTTTCCTACTGGTGGTATGACCACTACATTGTGCATATAAAGTTCAATGTTATATGCATTATCATTAGTTCCTAGAAGCATAAGGAAAGCAATGAAAAATAAACCTTTTTGCGTACGAAATACGTACGATAATATTATATTATAGTAACAAGACTTGACTCGCACATTTGTGTGAAGAAATGAGCATAATAGCACTAAATAATTGACTGGCTTTATTACTGACTGACAATCAAACATTTAAAATCAACATTATCAAGGAAATCATTTACAAATTATTTTATTTTACAAATCGACATTTTTTTTCTATAATATGTTTTTATGCATATTTCGTACCTATAACTGAATTTCTGCTATATTTTGTTGTTCAAAATTTAAAATATCATGCTTTACAATATGACTTTTGTCAAATTGGACAAATAATTTCCTCAATAATTACTGATAACAAATAAATCTTGTATATACTTTAACTTAAAGGACTATACTAAAAATATCACACTATCATTTTCACAGCCACTGAAGTACCCCCAGGTCCCCAAAAATTAGGCCATTCCTTAAAACGCTATGTATAGATACAACTAGTTGTATACATTATTTATGATATTGTATGTGCGTTCTGAATTATGCCTTATCTTCATAGAAATAAAGGATGAAATTGTATTTTTTTCGTTCATTCTTTGTCACTTAAAATTTCTTCATAAGTCTTCGGACATGTTCGGCTATCAACGATCTCTCGACCAATCAGCGTCGTTTATCCTTTCGCGGTATAATTCAGAACTCCGTGTGCCTGAAGTGTGTATAATATAAAATATAAAAACAAGTATAAGTTAGCTAATAGTTTATAAGTTTAATAATGTGAAAAAATATGTTTCTTTTTCAAATCAAACATAGGAAATCAAAATATTTTGTAATAATTACCTATTTGGCTGTGTGGAATAGATTTTTTGAAATAGACATCCTTTTTATTGTGGGAATTAAATTCGATTCAGTTGCTTCACGATTTTTTTATTGTTACCATCGACAAAGGCTATATTAGCGTTTAATATTATCGATATATCATTGAAGTTACTGAATCTTATTAAAGTTCAAATAGTAAATTAATTATTTACTCATGTGCACAACTGTTTTGATTGGTTTGTTAGGTTGTCTTTTTGTATGATTCAAACCGGCCGTCTATTCTCAGAGAACTACTGCACACAGCCAAATATCATAGCAATCGGATCATAAATAAATAATAAGGATTATTTTCTACAATAATGAACATTAATCGAGTATTATATTGTAATATAAAGATGCGTTCTAATTTTCTACACTATGTGCAGTGCCAAACCTTTTGAAGTTCCTAATGTATGTCGACCACGACTGGACAGCACTTGAGGAGGTGTCCTAATGACACACTGGCTTGCTTTTCGTGCCTTGCTGTATATTTTATGTCATTAAGGGGATAAAGAGTAAATGTTGGTAGTGCTCAAAAAGCCTTAATTTTAAATAAAATATTCACAAATAATTTTAAGTCAAAAAATTCCCTTTTTTATTATGCCCGGTCTGTGTTGACTACATTATCGACTTTAACGATTTATTATTATTATAGTTTATTTTCAATTAATCAGTCGACTTTTGTGTTTGTCTCAAATTGGAGACGTTACCCTTTTATGGGTATTTATTTTTAGTTTGCCGAATTATATTTTCAGAAATATGGGGCATCTAGTGTTTTGAAAATAGTTCTGACTGTGGTGTTAACATATTTAAATGTAACGACACATTATCTGAATACGTTTGAGTATTCAAATAAAAAACCTATAATTATATAACTTTGTATTCATTATTTTGATCAAATGTATGTTGGTTGTTAAGGTTCGCGCAGATAGCGTATAACATAATTAAGGTACAGTATGTATGTATTATTGAATCTAAAATATATATTAATATATATCGGCTATCTGCGATTGCCTTAAACCAGTGTAAATAGTTACTTGCGTGGTTGAATATCGGCTGAAGTAGAATATTTGATGAGTATAGACGTAGCAAGATGAAAGGGAAATAAATAATAATTTGTACGTTTTCGATATTGTTTACACAAAGTCTAATGAAACGAAACGAATGAACTCTGTTTTATAAAAGAAATATATTGGCAGGATGTAAAAAAAGGAACAAGGTATACTAACTTTAAAACGTGTGATTGATTTGGTATCTAGTTTTACTAATAGAAACCTTAAATGAACTATGTATAGAAAACAACTACATGAACCAAATAAATAATAGAAAAATAACAAAACCGAATCTCTCTAGCGATTACAATCAGAACGCTCGAACTGCTACATAAACAACGGGTCACTTTAACATTTTAAATATTCATAGTTACAGAGCACAGAAGTTACTGGAAAATCAGTTTATATTTAAATGATACAAAAATGGTTTTGATGAACCATTTCAAAGTTATCTGTATATACAGAGTAGAAACGGAACGCTACCGAAAGACAAAAATTGTTTTTGTTTATTTCAATTATCTTCTACTTCTATATATAAAAATGAAACCCGTTTACCGTTGTCACGCCATTACTTGAGAACGGCTAGACCTTTTTGGCTGTTTTTTTTTTGTTGTATTTTTTATTGTCAGGAGAAGGTTCTTACGACAGAAAAAATCCTGAAAATCCTATGGGAACGGGAGAAAACGAGACGGCGCGTACGAAGTCGCGGGCTGAAGCTAGTAATTACATAAATGAAACATTTTATTCCTTATTTATTTAAAAGAATACTCGTTTTTTAACATCACATGTCTTCGTATTTTTTGAAGCGTTCCGTTTAGTACTGTTATATAAATTATATCAAAATTTTCCCTCCACAAAATGCTACGTCTAAGCTCTCAAATACAAGTTAGGTTATGCATCTGGTCGCTAGGTACGCCACAGTATCACATAATGTCTTCACATCGACTCGTTCGCTCGTGTCCGCAACGCTAGTCACGTTTTTTGTTACCTATATAACTGTTTATGTATTTTGTAACTTATGTGTTATATAAGAATAAATCACTACTGTATTTGAAATGCTTTGTTTTATTCCTTTACTAGCGACTTTCGCACGGGTGCAATATGCATGTATTATACATACAAACCTTCCTTAAGAATCACTCTATCTATTAAAAAAAACCGCATCAAAATCCGTTGCGTAGTTTTAAAGATCTAAGCATACATACGGACATACAGCGAAAGCGACTTTGTTTTATACTATGTATTGATTGATATTGATGATTTGCATTTTTACATTATCCTGCATTCATGTAAATAAATAGCTTTTTACATGGTTAAATAAACAGGTTCCTAGAAGCCTCGTACCGCATTTGTTGCTCCGCCTCTGATGCTGTTATAGCAAGGCTGTAAGAATTTAAGTTACTGTAACTGCTATAATAGTAGATAGATGATATAAGAGAATACTGGATCCAAGAGAAGTTCAGTTCGAAAAGTACGTAGATGACTAGACATTGAAAAACAATAAATTGTCTATCTTACAGATCACAGGGCATTTTATTTTTACATTTAGAAAACTTCAGGTAAAATTAACAATTATATTATATAGCTATGAATAAAGGCCAATTACAAGTTTTCACATATAATATTTAGGTAGGTAGTTAAATATTACTGCTCTGCCTCATTGGTCGAGTCGTCTCAAGTGCGACTGCCGGGTAAGAAGTCTCGGGTTCGATTCCCGGATCGGGCAAAGTATTACTGGGTTTTTAAAAAAAATGTCAGTGGTAGCACGGAGTCTGGAATTGTGCCCGGTATATGGCAATAGGCTCACCCCCTATTACATGGGACTCATAACATAAATAGTGAAAAGTGGGTGATACATTGCACAGTGGCATTAATGTACACCTCCGACTACCTCTTCGAGGATAAAAAGGCGTGATGTTATGTTATGATGTTAAATATTATGATTTGCTGACAGCAACTTATTCTATGTTGGATATACTAGTAAGCAATACGAAAAAATAAAATAAAAAGCAGCTTAACAATTACATCTAAGTAAAATAAATAAGAAAAACAAAAAAGAAAAAAAACTATGTTCGCCCGTCTAGCCCGCCCGCCCGCTAGCTGGCGGTGTGGCCTGCGCTTGAGAGTTGCAGGAGTAGGAAGAAGGTTATGCCTTCTCAGTGTAGAAGGTACGCGCAAGCCAGCTCGGATACGTCCGTCAATCCACTCAACACTTTATGTAGAAAGGAAATATCTATTGCTGTTTTCCTTCGCTCCTGCATAGGAAGCAAGTGAAACCTTTGGTAGCGGGTGAAATAAGCAGGCAAATATGTACTGGTGGGATGTTGAATGTATGTACCTCAAGAACTTTTGGACCTTTTCTACACGCTTTATGTAGGCATCATAATTGGAGTTCCACACCTGGGAAGCAGCAAGGACTACGAACGTAAGAACAATAGGCATTTTTATTGTTTTGATATTCTTGAAATCTTTAGACACCTTCAAAACAAAACCTATCTAATGCTTTATTTGCCTTATC